CGGTTGTCGCGGCGCACGGACGTCTGATTGCCACGAAGCCCAATTGGGTCTTATCCGCCCGCACATGGGAAATATTTTTAATCAACACCTCCATTGAACTTACGAGCGGTCGTACGTGAGCTTGGAGAACGGGGACGTACTTGAAGAGTAGATATTCAGAGATTAATAAATATAGCGTATTTTGCAGGATTTGTCAAAGCATTTGTTACTAGAAACATAATAACGTATAATAATATTTTAATTTGCTTTTAATATGGATTTTGTGCAATAACCACTTAATAAGGAAATTAAAATCAATAATAATTAAACAGTTTTTAATTGTTAATGATGATAATTTTTGTTTTATATGTGGAAGCACGCAGTTTGATGGAAGGCATATTTGTCACTATGCATATTGCATTCTATAAGTAAACAAAACGTAGCATGTATGTATATTAATAATAACACTTTTAAAATTGCTACTACACAATGACTGTGTAGTGACCATTGAATGTAAAACTACTTTTATAAAACAAAATGATATACCTTTGCTTGTCGGACACGAAATAATTTGGTTACTTCTTAAACACGAATAATATTGGTATTGCACTTTCAACATGATGCTTTATAAAAATATATAATTTTATTTATTACGTGTTGTTCACCTATTTAAACCATTAATAAGGTAATTCAATGTGTAATTGCGTAAATAACAGTAGATACATAAAAAATTGTGAAACGAAAAAATTTTGAAAAGTCAGTTCGGCCCTGTTTAGAGTGGATATACACTAAGCGGGTGGTGCTGGGTTGGTGCTTGATTGGCCTTATGAATGCTAGTAGATTGCATCGCTCCGCTCACGGCTTTGTACGCGCAACCGCTACCGCCTATGACTTAACAACAAAACCACTATTAAAAACGAGGCAACTTTTAAAAGAAGACATGTCAAGCTATTTTAACAAGTGTATTGTTGTGAGAATTATTAAACAAATTAGGTTGACAGCGCGTATTGTCAAAATGTTATATGGGTAAAACTTCATCTTCAAACAAATAAAAGCCACGCTCGTCTGTTCTCCTATCATAAAAAGCCACAAAATTAATTGGCATTCCACTACCGCCTTTGCGTAGTGAGTATTTTTAATATATAACATAATTTCCTCTATAACAGCACAGAGTAAACAGTAGATTTACGTATTTACTTAATAAAACTAGAATCTCATGTCTACCTTTGAAAATTCGCTCCATATGACCCATATAAATGTAAGTCACGTTTTCAATAACCCTCAGTTTTAGCTTCATAATTTTAACTCGTGCTGATATGAAACTCCATTTTGTTATGAAATTCGCTACCGAAACATACTCGGCTAACAATATAACTCGTGATTCGTGAAACGGCTTATATTAAATCGCTCTATGTGCTGTGATTAAATTGCGAATTGAGCTATTTGAAAATTTAAAAGCTTGCGAAAGTAATCCCCGTAGTACGTGCTTATGTGACGGGCTCATCTAGTAGCAATGAATGTCAAATAACCAACGATTCCCCGTTCGTTACCCACTGGGTCTAACATATTTTTAATACATTTATAAGTTTACTGAAATCTGGATATTGAATGGATGGTAGGAACACCGTCCACATATGGAAAAGTCGCGAAGTTTAATTATAGCGATTATTGTATGATGTTATCTTACCTACCGTCAAGTGATTCTCATTTTTTGGTTTGCACACTGGGTATATAAATTGATTAGATGTTACACAGGATATATGAAATTTATTAATCCGATATATAAGAGTAATTGAAAGATACATAAAATTAATAAATTAAATGCCCCATTGCGAGAAATGGTATTTCGGTTAAGTACTGATGACTGCGGACGACGTAATCATCATCTAGACCCCTCCCCCTCTTCGAAGGTCATCAGCTACTTTATTGCGTACGTAATACTTGAACGGGCCCTTGAGTGGTCAGTTAGCGGGATAAAGACGGATATTGGCTGTAATATTTGACAAGCAGCACTCTCCTGGCCGCGACGCTATTATTAACGACGTGTATTGTAATCAGGCGGCGGGCGATCGCCTCCGCCGAAGGTAGGGCGGTATTAAATTCCGACAGCTACGTGATAAATCGAAATTGGAAAAGTTTAATAATGTTCGGTTGCTCCGAAAGCAATAAAATCGTTTATAAACGGGCACAAGCGAACTAGACGGCACAGAGGCGCCCGCCGACGAACCTTTGGGCTCTAGGTGCGTCTTACTAGTTTTAAATTGATTTTATTGACCCGTACGTTGACGATTTGCCCTAAGCTGTAGCGACAATTGAAAAAACCTAGATTAGGTATAATTAATTAAATCACACATTCAGCCGTGTAATAGTAGCTATTTGTAATAAATGACACGCAATTTTAAATTTTAACTTATAATTGTATACAAAGAAAAAGAGAAAGGAAATCATCAACTAAGAGTAGCGGTGATATATGATGCTGATACATCACCGCTACTGCTATAATGATAGCGATGATGAAATCAAAAACAAAGTATTATTATCTTCTTCTTCCATACAGATTATCTCTATACTTAATTATTGGCCAATTTAATATGCCCAGTAAATACCGAGTTTTTTCTTATCAACAAAAACAATTGATTCTAAGAAATCCGAAAGACGTTAAATTAGATTTTTGTCATAATAAGCAATACGCTGAATAAAATTATTTACATATTCAAATTACGTCTATACAAAACTCCTGTTTTTAATTATAAACTTAATTTGGTTATGATAAATCTATGGAAATTTTTACCTCGAGCTCCCAACCCTCTGCAGCGGTAAGGGTAGAGTAATTACTTCTTTTCTTTGTAATAAAAACGGATTAAACTTTACTTAGGGCGGCCTATTCATTATGTTTACTATTCAAAACGGCTAGCACCTAAAAAATATTTTACTTATCTCATTTTGTATACAACCCTTGAAGATTCTAATTAATCCCGGAAAATATTTTCCTTATAATTTCCGTTTTAAATTAAACTCATTTTTTTGTATCGATTTATATTCGTAACTGTAGGTCGTTTAATTAAATTTCATAATGACTTTGAAACCGCGATTACTTAGTTCATAACGCATTTAACAAACTTTTTCTTACTATTGCATACTATTAACCATACAACTGTTTGATATAGTTATAAGACCTAGAAATAATTTACTGAATTAAAGAAACAGAATGTCTATTTTGCCAGGCTAAACTAAGTGTTGTTCAAAATGCGTTGCAGTTACACTCAGAAGGTCTCGTTTTTAAATTGGCCCGGTAGTAATATAACACCGGCCAAGTCCGAGTCGGATTGCCGCTCGAATGGTTCCGTTCTATTAGGTCAACAATAGCTGATTATTAAATTGTAAATTTAAATAAAAAAACACTTTTAACGGCTGAAAACGCAAAATGAATTAACTACTGGTGATAAAGTTACTACTGATTTTTAATATTATTTTTAAACGGTTTAATGTGTTTTATATAAATATGTACTACTGGCTTAAATTTCAAGTAGTGTTTTAATTTTATATTCTAACCTTTTTGATTTATTTCTAGTGCACTATTATTACAATAGAGCAAAAAAGGCAAGAAGCGCGTTTGTTGTATGTATTAATTTTTGTTTTTTAGTAAATGAACTGTCATCTTAAATTTTTAGGTTATTACGGTTTTAAAGACTTTGGTGACTAGGGTACATAGGTACTTGGTATTTGGTCCCATTTTTACCCATACAATATGACATACACAGTAATGCACTTTGAAAAGTATGCTATGCTATATGTTATAAATATGTAAAGTAAGAAAATAAAACGTTTTGTAACCTGGAAAGTATGTACGGTTGCTTGTGTGTGCTTCATTTGTATAACATTATTTCAGATACCAAGGACGGATCGGTAAGCTGTTGTGCTGTTATTTGAGACTGAAAGAGGTGTGCGTGTATGTGAATTGATATCAATTACATAGAACACTAAGACCAGGATCGCGATTCCATAAGTCGCTAATCCCGGGCGACTGTCGAGGTACAATTTGTCGGAACGGTTATGTTATTGCGGTTAAACTTGCCCGCAAATTCTTGATTCTACCAACACAATTCGCATTGTTCACTTATAATTTGTTTTATGAATAGCTAGTCATTTCTTAAAACCACGCCACTATAAACACATATTTAGAAATTACAAAGGAGTCATTAATATTTTTTTATTGAAAGACCATGACAAGAATTATTAATAAGGTTATGAAGAAGATACTATAAATTCAACAAGACCGTAATGCAAAAATACATTCAACTGAAAACATTTTAATGGTTAAAAGGCGAAATGTACTAGTTAATTTTTTAACAATTTATTTTAACTGCCCCGTGGTTCAATGGCAATGCATGGGGTAAGGGAGAACCAAAGATCAAGGTGTCCAAAATGTCAAAGTCAAAATCTGCTATGCTAGCGCCATCTGTTTCGCAAATCAAATATTATAAATAAAAAAGATGATATTATAAGAAAAAGATAAATAAGAAAAAGTATTTTATGACTCCCTTTAATATATTGTCCGATATGTAATTATTATATTGATACTCGTTAATAAAGTACGTACATTTTATGGAAATAATCCACATTTCCACAAAAGTGTGGTGTTAAGTATTAAATTTATCATCCTATATAAAAGAAAGCATAGTAAACAACTAAACAATTAATTAAGCGAACAAATATCCCTTCATCTTTTCCGGTTTAGCTGTAACGTCGAGCCAGTCAATTTGTTGAAATGGTTATTGTATGGGTCGAACAAGCTCCGCTACTATAGTTTTGTACTACACCGCCCATAACGAACAACTATGTTCATCCTTTCTCTTAAAATACGATCGTATTAAATTACGTAATTATATGGCTTTATGGCTTAACTCAATGGTTTGTAACAATTCCCTATTAGGGATCCAATTTCCGTGGTTTTTTTCACAGAATCTGTCGAGTGTGGAGATCAAAAGATAAAACGTAAATAAACACCGATCATTAGAGATATGGCCGTTCGAACGGTAAGGGACGTAGTGGTATGGGACGAGGGAGGTCTGCGGGCAACCCACGCACCACGTCCGAGCAGTAATGAGTTGAAAGCGGATACTTGTAGCGCACTCAGAGCGCGCGTGTCCGGTTACCCGCCTAATGTTGCCCGGATAAACAATGACGTCCAGCCTTTTAGCGACATTTGTGAACCCACTCAACACCAGACGTAAGCCTAAAAGATCCCGCATTTTTACCATTTGTGATTCTAGCGACCCGCATCAAATAGACAGCTTTAAGTAAACCGGAAAGTGCTCATTAATAGCTGGGAATAAGACGAGCTTTTTTACGATTCATGAGTTTCCGTCTCTACAGTTCTTTGAATTGTTTAGGCAGAACAGTTAAGTACGTTTTTTATTCTGCCTCAAAGGCGTTACTAGACCACCAGCAACACACTTCGCAGTTTGTGGAACTCCGGATTCAGGGTTCGAAGCCCGGTAAACCTTATTAGGATAATCATCAAAAGATAGAATCTTTGTAGAAGTTACGCTACTTTACTACGAGCTATTTAAATTATATTTTCTTACTGAACTGAACTTTTGAGAAATATTGGATGATATTAAATACTGTCTATAGTTTACGCGAGTAGTACACATTTAATTAAAACACTTTAACGGTTTAAAACGCGATATATTAGTTAAACTTATTTGAAAATGATTTTTAACTTCGGCCCGACGTTTCGGATGCTTTCCGCATCCGAAAAGTTTAACTAATATATCGCGTTTTAAACCGTTAAACGTTGTTTTATTTAAATTTGATGATTTTGTTGGTATAGTTGTAATGTATGGCTGAAAGTCGAAAGAATCGCGGCTTTGATTCCCATTATATATCTCTGAAAATACACCGCCTTTCGGTTTTAGTCTGTCGATTGTCGAAATAAATAGAAATCTTATTTTAATTAGATACCTTCTAACAAATAAATCCTACTGAGCTTGTACTTACTCTGTTATAAAGAAAATAATAGTGTTTAAGATACCTTATTTTAACACTATCAGGCTAATGCTTTACCATATTCCGCCGGCAACTGTAGCTAGGTGAACAGGCAAGTAATATAATATAGGTATCTGTAGATAAAGCACTTAGCCAGATATTGTTCCCGTACGAAGTCCATTTAGGTAGACTACTATTTCACATTGACAGATTACTATAGCATGTAAGCTCGTAGGCATTAGGTAAGTGCCGATGTGAAAGCCGCCTAGTCAAATCTAGAGTGACGGACCATCAGCGATAGTCCATTAAGGCAACTCTCATTAACATCACACGATAACGATCCGATATCGGAAGAATATAAAAAATCACACAATAACATACAAAAACAAATTTTGATAAAAATAAAATCATTCTATTAAAAAAAATACTTCGCATAAAGTAAAAGGTACGTATTTTGATTTCATTAAAAAATATATATATTTTACTATAAGACCCACTTTTAACGATTTAAAACGCGAAATGTTTTAGTTAACTTACAATATATTTTTGAATTGAGTAAAAAGAAAAACAGTCCGCAGTCCTTAGAAAGATTGAACATATCTACATAGATGCACAGTGATTGTATTTAATAAAATCTAAATCGGTTTAGAATTAACGAAGAATCTACTTTTTTTTGAAGTCGTTCTAAAGACATTGTATGGTAAAGTTAAAAATTTTGTATTTCATTTTTGAGAATTATCTCTAAAGTATTGTTAAATCCAAAAACTCCTTTAAAATATATACAAGGTATAACTGAAGACAGTTATATGGTTTAAAAAGTGGACAAATTTGTATATAAAAGTGACGCAATTTCGTGCCAGAAAAGTCAGGAATAAAACTAGCCCGTTACTTTCTCCTTACACTCTATCTTATTCTTAAATATCAAGCGAACTAGTCAAAAAATGTACTGACAAATTAAAAATACATTTTATATTAAATAATAAAAAATTTACGTATGCTTTTTTTATGTACCTATACAACATAGAAACGATTTCTTCCCTACATTTGTGGCCGGTGGAGGCAGAGTAGCCTAACTGCAATTTTATGACTTGAGTTATTTATATTCCCATGGTCTCAAAATGTTAATCTACAAAGATCATAGGGACCGAAAATTCTTACACGAATATGTTTTTGTTATTAAGCCACTCTGCCTCTAGCAGCCTCATTCGTACTATATGAATATAATAAGAACCGATATATCGTACTGCCCGATACTGTAAACGCAATATTCCGAAGGCGGAATAGTCGCGAGCTACAATGGGCCTGGGCGGGCGAATGGGAGGTTTGATACGCCATTAGTTCATTAGCAGTCTTATGTGCCTGTCATAAGCCGATTATGGAGTCGCAAGTTACGCTACGTCGGGACAAATTGACTATGGACGTCGATTACCTTACACGTATTTACCGTAAGGCCCTGTCTATATACGTTTTTATCCTAATTATGCCCTTTATTAGAATATCCGTTTGCATAAATAGCTGTAGTCTTCAATTGAGTTAATGTATCGTACACAATATCTCTCCTTATAAACTGCTAAACGTATATCATATAATAGCTGAGTCAGTTAGAATAGTTATTTTGTGCATCCAAAATTGTTTTTGAAAACTGTCCTAACCATCCATGTCCGTCATTGGTCCCGTCCCGTCGCTCGCGTCGCGTCGTTCGGTTCCCGTCGTTCTTTAAAGTACATCTTAAGAGAAAGACATATACTGTCGCGGCATTTTTTTTGTAAGTGAAGAAAGAAACAATTCTCTTATATATATTTTCTGTGTATCTTGAACCGTTTTCGCAGCGTACACATCGGAAACCTACAAAGATGAATAATTTTCCCCCTTTTTATTGCATTTTCTGCTGTTTCTTCGCTCCTATCTATGTTTATAGCCTTCCTAGATTAATGTTCTAACAAACAAAAAAAGAATATTTCAATTCAAAATAGTAGTTCCTGAGATTAGAGCGTTCAAACAAACAAACTCTTCAGCTTTATAATATACATTAGTATAGATTATATACGTTTAGTAGTTTTTAGAGTTCCGTACCCTATTAGTAAAAATGGAACCCTAAGACTTAGTTATCTGTCGCAAGATTGTTAAAAATGAAATTTCACAAACTGTATATTTCTGTCACCGCTATAATTACACTTAAATAAAATACCTAAATACAATGTAATATTAATATTTTATTTCCCATACAAAGGCAATAGATATACTACCTCTAGAAATAACAAAAAAGGTAGCTAAATACAATTATGTATTTAATAAGTTTTACTTAATGTTTGGGAATGAATGGGAAGCTTTAATGGAAATTTGACTCGCAATTAGCCGGTCTTTTTAGATTTTCTTTCGAACTATCCAATTGAAGTTTACCAATTATACAGGTACATATAATTTTCGCGACTTTCCCTTTGATTATTTGCTCCTATAGACGCAGTTATATCACATTAAATCGAACACATCATGTATTTCCTATAACTGTTCCGTGATAAAATATTCGCACTTGCAAATTTGATAACAAGTTCCTTTGCACTAAATTCAAAGGCTTCGAAACGGGGGGGGGCGGAGGTCCATTATCCTTAAGCGAGGGCGCACCAAGCAAAGACGTTAGTCCGACTCTGTTCTGCGACTTTACGACGTTATCTCTAACAGGTTCCCGGGATGGGGTTGGTAAAAGCACAGGATCTGCCGTTGTGCCTGATAATTGCCACTAATGGAAAAGTCTGGTCAACGCGAAGTGCATTCCAAGTTTTCGTCGTCAGTTATAAGTTTTAAATGTATTGCGGCGATAAAATTATAGATGGGTTCACGAATAAACACGTCTTATATTAAACTAGCTGTGCCCGCGACTTCGTTAGTTATTTTGGGCATCAAAATTTAATTTGCAAACAACCTTCTCGACTTTAATTTGTAGCTGTTACCCACACCGTCGGCCGTACTCCATCATTCTTGCAAGTTAATCCTAAAAGATATGTATATACTGTCTCGGTTTTTTTACATAATTACATTCTTTCATTGATGTTTTTTTTGGTTTATTGAACCGTTTCCGCAGCGAATGTAACAGAAGTTCTCAAATGTTTTTCCCACATTTTCCACTGTCTCTTCGCTTCGTGATATTATATGACCTATACCTATAACCTTCCGCAATATGGTGAATACAACACAAAAATAATTTTTCAATTCGAACCGACACGATATTAAATCATAACGAGGTCTAACGAACCCCGAACTTTTATCCAAGATGGCCTAGTGACGTCACAGTTACCTTGATACAAAAATACTAATGTAGTAATCTGACGAAATGAAAAAGCAGACAAAATCCAATACACTTACGAGCATCTAACAGCGCATACATATTTAACACGCATATTTACCGATTGGTGTGGATCGGGGGGTATTAGGGGGGTCGGTCATTCAATGAGATTGCTTCTTGCCGCCACTCTGAAGTAATGGATCTGCCCAAATAGACTGTATTGAGGAAACTGGCTTGCTATTGTATTAGTTAGCAGTTTATTAGTAAGTAGAATAACATTTAAATTTTGCTTTAAAAAATACCCGGCGAAAAGAGTAGTACAAAGATTTATGCAATAATTTTTACTAATATAGTGGTTACATACTTTAAAAAAATCAAACTTTTAACAACCGTTCTATAATTATCTTCTTTCGTAGAAACATTTGTCAATAGTATTAAGGTGACCAACATAATATGTTTATTTTAATTGCTTATCCATTTTAATAAAAGTCGTCGTGGGCTAAAAACTATCAAAATTAGTTAATAAATATTTTTTGCGTTTAATACCGTTGAAAGTGTTTTATTTAAACTTGTAAGTATTTACTTATACTTAGTACTATGTGGCATAAGTGAGCGATAATTCCGGTCATATGTAGTTGCTAAGCTTAACAGCTTACTTATGCTGTCTAATAAAGAAGTACATTTGTACATTTGAAATGTAAATCGCAAAGTAGTCCCATTTCGAAAGCAAGTTACGAGACAATCGCGACGTAATGGATACGGTATGGATTGAATTATGGAAGGGGGAGGAACTGGGCCGATGTTAGCTCAGGGGGGGAAATGGAAAATGTGTGTCGACAAGTTGCGGGCCTAACAGCTCCTGGACAGAGTACGGTTGCTGGTAATGGATTGATCAGATACTATTCTATCTAACTATTGGGGATCCTTGAGGGTAAAAGGAACGATTTGTTTCAAGGCGAGATGTGAATTTTAATAAGGTATCGTTTTTCACATCACTATATAGAGATATCAAGTTATATATCTTCCATTTTTAATATAATTGTATTCGATTTAATCCTATCATATGCACGTAATTAAACAAATGATAAATTGCGTGAAAATTTAGTTCAGGTTTGTTTTGTTTGTTTGTCCGTGTGTAGCCAATAAGTTTCGAAAGTCTTTTGCGCAACGTTCTAGCTTCGTTATCAAGGATTGAGATGCTAGTGAAAAACGTTACAGTAATTAAAACATTTTATGGCCCAAGACGGCAACATGCATCACAGACGAAGTCAAAGTCGTCGCTAGTCCTTAAAACATTAATATTAATAACACAGTAAAAACGGATGCAGTATTTTTATAAAGTTTGAATTTGGAATTCGATTAATAATTACGAAATTATTATTTGCACAGGTCATTGCCGAAATAGAGAAATTTTAATCTTTTAGTGACTGCGGTAACATTCTAAAATGTCTACAAAACTTAGTTAAATATTGGCTACGTATAAGTAATGGTTGTACAATAAAAGAACTGAGGCTACGGAGTCTTTAGTTCATTATCCAAATGGAATACAGCTATTTGATCCACTTATGTGATTGCCTGCAAACATTATCTCTCTTCTACTGAATGGAAGCCATAAGTCTACCTCGTAACTCTCTACTTTCTTATAATTTTAGTACATTCTTGGATTGAAAGTATCAAACAATTTATTAGTGACTGCGAACCTTATAAAAATATTTTTAATTGACATCGAAGTTTCTGGATATTGTCATTAGAAAAACTTATATATATAAATTATATCCTGCTTAAACTAATAACATGAGGCAACACACTGAAATAGTTCAAACAAGTACTTTATCAGACTTATGTGCCCTACCCGACGAAGTGTTTTTAACTTAACTATTAGGTAAGTCATGGAGACGGATTAAAAAATAAATTTTATTATTTTTTATGCAAATTCTTTGATACCCGAATGAAGTCTCAGCAGTGACTGTAATTTACGGATGTACTTAGTACACATTTAAATAAAACACTTAACGGTTAAAACGGGATATAACTCATTTGTATTCAATTTTAACTGATATATTTTATGTAATAAACCGTCAAAGCTTTATTGAAATAAGTATACGTACGGATAAATAAAAAAAAACTAGAACTTTATTAATTAACTAAATAAATATTATGTTTATTAAAGACAAAAAATATTTCACATACTAAGAATGCATTACATACATAAATATTAAATATACATTGAAATTACAATACAGTAAAATTCATAATGGACCCATAAACTAAACATGTTATTAACCCTTAAATATTCGTAAAACATGAGACAAATACAGTCCATTTGCATTTATTACTTTCAGAATTCGAGAAGCTACTTCGAAAAATCAGCAGATACAAGATAATGGTCCCATCCAATCACTTAGCTTTGTGAGCCTCCGATAATTTATGTAACAAGATTTTCTATATAGACAAGTTGGCTAAGTATAACAGTGGAAACACTTTTTGAATATTTCATATGTTTAACCTGTAACATTATATAATCTTTATATGTACTATATCTACAATTTAATTTTTCTTTAGTCGTTGACAGATTTTTGGATTCGGAGAGGTATAGTTAAAAATTGAATACATTTATTTGAGCTTGTGTAAAATATGCTGTCTTTATTTGTATAATTAAATTTGTTCTTGCTTTGGGAGTCGTGGAACTTTCAGTAGATAAGATCATTAAATAGCTTATCATTGCAACGACATTTTAACATACGCATTCGACATTCTTATTAAAATAACTATGGGATAGGTTCCTTGGGTTCTGACGGCTATTACTTACAACGCAATATCAAATTGCTTTCAATTTATTTCGCAATTGCCGTCTTTGAGTTTCGCTTTGTAGAGGCTTCTGACGTCGGACCGAGGCAACAATAAAATGTATTCGTCTCCGGAATGTTTAATATGGGGAAAAGTTTAATAACGCGTCCGGCGGGCGGCCGTTGGGCGGCGGTCAGCGCCTAGCTTGGCCCACAGCGATAAATCAAATCTCATACCTTCGCTGCTACAGAAAAATCCTTATTACATTCGGAAATATTATTCCTGGGGTTCTCGAAATCGCTTTGGTCATATCATACCTAATTGCTGTTCTCTATTCCAAGATACCTTTTAATAGTATTCAGTCCGAACGACTTGATTTTGTTTCAGTACATACGTAACACTTGAAAATAATGAAATAAAACCTCGAACTTTTAAAGCAAAGGATGCTTGTACATTGTACAACCTCCAATGAGAGTCCCTAACGTCAACGCCGAAGGTGCCCCACGGCATCACATCATTAGCAAGCGGCACCTGTGAGGAGCACGAGAATGAATCGCGTACTATGCAACTGCGATTTTTAGGTATACAATTCTCCACCGCTCCTAATTTTCTTACAAACAATGACAAGGGACAAAGAAGAGCCGCAATGAACAGCGTACTGAGGTAAAATTGTGGATCTTGTAATATAAAATTCAGCGGCAATTCGAAGCGATATGACTTGTGGGTTCATCAAGACGCAACAGACGAAGCTCGGCAGCCCTGGAGCTCGACGCTGACACAATAGGTCCCTGACGTTAATTAAATGTTAACAAACGCCCTCGTAGTCGCTTAATTGGAACTGTTGCCTATTATCCTTACCTTCCGACGCAAAGAATGAGTTTCAAACTTAAGAACCACTCTTCACCATTTTTAATGTCGTTATTTAAGAAATAATAATATTATAATATTTATTTTTTAGGTCTCAGCCAAATTTTACTATGATGTTTTTTTTAATATGTCATCCTGAAAAAATAACAATTAGAGTTTTAAGAGCCAATAGAGTTAATAGCGTGACTAAATGTAAATCGAAAGTCGTGTAACAACTAAGACTGTGCTCTTATTTTACATCATACGATGTACACCAAAACGTTTTACTCTTCCTTAATTAAAATAATTATTTTTTTTACTGTATTGAGATATTGTATACCTAAAATAATGCATTTTTGACTTGGACTGTGATCATTGCTTTTTTAAGTCTTAGGGGAGCATTTGTCTTAGTTCGATTTTATATTACTTTATTTAAACACGATATAATATATCTATACATAGAAAATTATTGTTTATAATATTTTTTTATAAAAAGTTTGAATTATTGACGTTACAATATGACCACAGATTGCTTTGTTGCTGACGTGATAGCTTAATAGTCGTAAGTCAATTGTCAAATAATTATACCTAAGGTTTGACGTTGCGTCAAATCATTATCTGACAATCTGTCATTACTACAGCCAATAGGGTTAGCATTACTTTACAATACTCAATCACTTTTAATTTAACTAAATAAAAACCGCCAAAGGTGGCTATATATTACTGATGTTAGTAATATTAACAATCATAAACTAATAAGTTAATACAAAATAACGACGATTTCTATTTTACCCAGAAATTTCCGTCAAAAAGGTCATTGGTATTTAATTTTTTTCAGTTAAATATGGTCGGAGTTCTCAGGCTAAATAGAACACATTTTGGCTATTGAGTTCGGATATTATATTAACTGCAAATACTAAAATAACTTAAATAAGACAATGTTTCGTCCTGCTGGACTCTCTGACGAAGATTCCGATAGCGATGAATATGGATTTGACGAAAAGCCGGTAAACGTTAAACTTCTACTAAATATTTACCTATATTATAGAGCCTTTATGGGACTTCCATGTCACTGAGTTAATATTCTACATTACTATTTTACAGAGAAGAACTTTTAATTATTACAATAACCAAGAAAACCTTAAAAAGAAATTAGAGAATAGATTACAAGATGCAATTATAAATGGAAACATTAAAGAGGTTGAGAAAATTATTGCACTTGGTATGTATTATTTTTGTGTATACAGGTTGTCCCAAGAAGTAGTGTCAAGCGGTAGTCCCAAGATAGAACACCCCTTGGAGCATCCGAAACACCCCCATGTATGTTCTGCGATTATTTATAGTTTTCGAGTTACGAATTTTTTTCTAAAATTTTGAGAATTTTTGACCTAAACAACTTCAACGCAAATTTAAAAAAGGTGATAAGACTTTTTCTAGATTTTTTTCACAGCTCAACAAGTATGAGTTGTACATTAATAATTAAAACATTTGTCTTTGTAACTTTAACGGAACTTAAAAATATGATGGTTCAAAGTGAAAAAGTTACAAGCCGTGAATTGCGTCTTAAAATTTTAACTTTAAATCTAAAATATTAATAGGTAGTTTTATACCTATTGACTTCTTTGTCTGGGGTTATTATACAGAATATGGGGGTGTTTCAGATGCTCCAAGGGGTCTTCTATCTTGGGACTACCGCTTGACACTACTTCTTGGAACACCCTGTACAGTATTTAGACTGTAAGCTAAAGAAATTAAAAAAAAATTGCCTTTTAGAGGATCAAAAACTCTTTGAAGGGAAACAAATTTTGTCAAAACATTCAATGCTCGTTTATTTCACCTAAAATATTAGTTATTTTGTTTAAAGAGCAGTTTTTTTTTAATATTCTCTTTTTATTCCTATATAGCACTTTTGTATTTATATCACACTATACAGATTATTCAATTTTGTATCTCAGTATGTTGATGTGCCTTATTATGTATGATGATAAGGGCAGATAAAAATATAAAAATGTGGTTCACTTGATGGAAGGTGAAATACTCTAACCTTATCATGTCTAAACAAAACATGTGCAGTTATATATTTATCTTGTTTAAAATTTACAGATCTAAAAAACAATGTCAATATCAAACTAGACAGTGGATGGACCGCTTTAATGCATGCCTGCTTCCATGCACAAAAGAAAATTGTTGATCTAATACTAGAGAAAGGAGCTGATCCAAATTTACATGCAGGTAGCTCTTATGTCTATTCGTAATTAGCATTTAGGTAGAAGTTCTTGACATAGGTGCGTTTCTTTCAGATTCAGTTACTCCAGTAATGGTAGCATGCTCGAACAGTAGTGCCAGTGAAGATATAGTACACAACATAGTAACTAGTCTTATATCACATCACAGCTTACTCAATGTGGGTGATAAATATGGACAAACTCCTCTCATGAGAGCAGTTAGTAGTGGCCGCGTAACTGTTGTTGAACTACTCCTGTCAAATAATGTTAATATTGAGATGAGGGATCGACAAGGTTGGACAGTAAGTAGAGTTGTTATTTGGATTTAACATTGTTCTCTGGAAATTCCAATATTGACATGAGAACACTAATTACTGATTGTACACCGTTCACGGCCAAATAATAACTTCATGTAGTGCAGAGTTTAATATGTAACTTAATAAGTACAACAAAGATAGGTAGCAATTTACTTTGACGTCAGAGAATCCTCCATCTTTAGTCTTCCGTGACCACGTGCTGCAAAGCATCCGAAACGTCGGCCGAAGTTAAAAATCATTTTCAAATAAGTTTAACTAATATATCGCGTTTTAAACCGTTAAAGTTTTTATTTAAACTTAATAAGTACTCTTGTAATCCCTCATAGTTTGAAAAAATGTATATTGTACTGACAATAGTCAGTATTTTATTTTACCTGTATATTATTTTCAGGCATTGTTCTGGGCTGTCCATCACAATCAAGCCAAAATCCTGGAAATACTAATATCTAAAGGTGCAAGACTGACGGAAATAGACATGTCCAGTAGAACAGTCGTAGAAATTGCACAATCTCATGAATATCCACAGATTCTAGAAATACTTAACCAACATTTAAAATTTGACACTGAAGAAGAAGTTGTAGGGGATGATATGACTGAATTAGTGTCATGGCAAGATTATTATCCAGGTATTAGAAGTGATGAAAGGTAATACCAAGTATTCTTGTTATAGTCATTTTTAATTCAAATATTTATTTGAAGAAATGGTTTATGTTGCTATGTAAGATATGAGTCAGAGATAAATTGATTGTAATAAATAATAAATGAGACAGTTCAGTATTTATCTCACAACTATAAGCAAATCGTTTAGATAGATACAAGTCATACTATACCAACAATTCTACTAACAGCATATAAGTCCAAATCTAAAAATCCTACCTGCCTAGCATTGTGTAAGGCACCAAAATTCCTAATCAATCAGTGAAAGGACACTGAAGTGTGCACCTCCCATGCCCCATAATATCAACATCAACATGTGAAAATGATCATTCAATTGCAAATTAATCATAATCTTATATTTTTTAATATAATTTATGTAATTTCTTTACATTATTTCAGGCCCAAGTATACTACTGAAATAAAACATTTACTATATGGTATGAATTGTGAGAAGTTAACTGACATCATTGTAAAGAATCATTTGGATTTAAGAACATTTCTGTTACTGGAAGAGGATGGTATGGTAAAATTGGGAATAGAAATGCCGTTTGAAAGGCAGAGACTAAGGCATGGGCTAAAAGCATTTCATATGAAGTCTTGGAAACTGAACACTGTGGCAGGACTCCACGTTCAGAAGCGTGATACCTGCAGGTACTACTCTTTACTATATATACACTGCTTAAAATCGGAGTTTATTCGTGTGTATCTACGACGCATGACGTGACTGTCCTGTGTAAGTTGGCAATAATAGTTAATTTGTACTTAATCAAGTACATACAGTAACAAATTTTAATATTTAGCAACTAAAACAAAACGGTTGATGTGTTAATCTTATAAGATATACAATATCAATTATTTAAAGAAATATTTTTTTCCGAAATCCTCAGAGATGAACAATTTTTCCTGTTTTTTTCCAGATTTCCCTGTATTTATTCGTTCCTATAAGTCGCGGCCTGATATATATACTAATATATAAAGCTTTTGGGTTGAGAGAGTTTGTTTGAACGCGCTAATCTCAGAACCTACGGGAATTAATTAAAAATGTATTTTTGTGTTGGTTAGAGCATTTATTGAGAAAGGCTATTAAACCTACAGCGAGAAATGTGATTAGAAGTTCCGAGGTACGCTGCAAATAACGATTCAAGATACCCAAAAAATTTGCATGAAAGAATGATTTTCTATAAATTATCTATAAAAGAGATGAGCACATTCAAATAAACACACAAACTAACTCTTCAGCTTTATATATATTCAGATTTATTTTCATTCTAAGATTGATAGTATGACTTTTGTGTGTAAAAATTTTCTTGTAAATATTTGATTTCAGCGTACAAGAGTGTCTAGGTGTATTGGGGAGTCATTTACAACAGTTGTATATACTGGAAGCGACACTACAATATGTTTTGCGTGATTACTGTCGAATACACAACCAGATAAAATTTGAACCACCAGATTCACCTGTCACTCAAAAAATGCAGGCGGCTGCTAAGAAAGTGTTAACTAATATAGGCAGTATTCGGCGGGAAATTAAAACTATGAAAGCTATCCATACAAAGGTAACTTCTTATTTGTTATCATAATAATCATTATCTTTATGGAGATAGATTTAGCAGTTCCCACCGCTGGGGCTCGAAGTAAAGTCATCTTAATCCACTTCGAAAGTATCATTTAAAAATCATCAATTTCTATTTCTTGCTTTTCTACTATCTTATATTTTCTGTAGTTTACGCGAGTGTGTACCACACTTCAATAAAACAATTAACGGTTTGAAATGCGAAATATATTAATAAAACATTTTTGTTTCTTTTTTACTACGACCCGACGTTCGGGATGCTTTCTACTGGACGGAGGTCTGATAATATGTTTACGCGTTTTAAACCGTTAAAAGGGTTTAATTTAAATTTCTTTACTATATTGTTCCAACTGAAAGGAATTAATTTTAGTTTATAAAATATGATAATATTACGTGAGTTTTAGTTAGTTTAGTTATACAGAAAAAAATCATACAAATTGATTTTGTGTTTGCAGATAAGTAAAAGTAACCCAAAACCAGCTGATTTAATCAAGGAAAAGTCTACCAAAGATCTGATAACAGGATATATTACTGATGCTATTGTACTTTGTTCTATTGGCGTCGTTGCATACCATACCAAAAACTGTGTTATGAGTTTATTAAAAAAATAAGTGTTTTTGTATATGACAAGTTTTATTTTATTTCCAACGGCTTTATTATTTTACGTAATTACTCAGGTCATAGAAGTGAATATTATTTCCCACCGTGGGGTATGGTTCGAACAAAATTCTGTGACCGTTCTACTGGGCAATTCTTTTACAGCCTACTTGGCTGTTGACGAAACTTCTCTGCTAGTCTGAACTCAGGACCTCTTCACCTCACCTCTTCCTCTTCACCTCTTCATCTCATCTTAACCCAATGCTATGCAACACGTTTAACCATAGCTACAGAGGCGGCCATAATCCTTGTGTAATAATTTTTCAAGATTGATTTGATTTATATGCTTTAGACATTAATTATATTGTTTAGATTTTAAAAAATATAATTAATATGTATTGTGTCTTAGTAACGCTGCGTCGATCGCATAATTGAATTAAAATGCTTAATAATTTAATTTTCTTTGGTGCCAATACTGGTTCAAGTTAAAATGAAAATGATTCATCAGTAGGCGTTGATATTTAAACTCAGTACATAGTCATTTTAATTAACATCAAGCTGGCGAACGTGACCGCTAAAAATAATACAAAATCTATTGGAGACACCTTCTTGCCAACTGTACTTGTGTTGGGTATTGTTGAATATATTTTACATAAAAAATATTAGCGTTGTTCTGTTATTTTTTAACATTTTTATGCTTCACTTAAAAAGTTCTTTTAAAGCTACTTAGTTTTAGTATTAGGAATCACACTTTGCATAATGTTTGTCAAAGTTCTTTTCAGAACTATCGCTTTGTACTTGAATATTTTCTTTTGTGTTATTATTAGTTTATTCTTAATTTGTCTGATTTAAAATTAATATCCTTCATAGCAATATGCCTAGAAGAAGAAGATCGCAGCTATCTAAGAATAGTTTCCAAGCGAGATTAGCAAAAGTTCGTCGTATGGAAAGTATTAGAGTGTACGCGCCCACAGCCAGAGAATCTATCGTCGAATGTTCAGGTTCGTCTTGGAGAACAAAATGCAAGATCGTCGCATCGACTTTAAGGAAATAGAGCTAGGAATTCGCGAACGCGCGCATGGGACACTAACACTGAACACTCGCAGCGGCTCCTGAGCCCCAGCGAGATAGACCACGGTCGTTAACAGCTAGGACGCGCAATAAATTTTTATTCTAATTTAGTGATTCGTGGTCGTTTTAGTTAGCATGCTTATAATTTAAATATTTGTATTTATTTACGTCTACCCGTGCGAAGCCGGGACAGGGCCGCTAGTATTTAAATAAAACCCATATAACTGTTTATATGTTATAAGTTGTTATTCATATATTAGTTAACTTATTTACATTTAATTTAACTAAGGTTTTTACTGCACTATTTTCTTTACTTTTAGTTACTTGTATGATAGCACAATGTAGGACTTCTTGTTGCGAAGTTTCGCATGAATGAGTTCCGTCTATTTTCGTCAATTGCCTAAATAGCTGACTTATTTAGAGTGCCAGAACGATGCATCATGATGATGTAAGTGCTAACCCACTTCGCAACAGTCGAAGTTATGAACTGAAAATTTCATAATTGCGCCCTAATTCCGTAGCAGAATTGAAACCCATTTGGCAGCTAAGAGAATGCAGCGGTGAAATTAATTGAAGACGTAGTTTACAATTTGATAGTAGGTAATAGCAATAAAGTTTAGATTTCAGTTGACTGGTTTATGTGACACATTGATTTAAGATTCTGTAAATTATAGCTGTTATATTTGCGAAACTAAGATCACTTAACCCTTTCACGCTCAAGGGAAATATTTTACCCTTCTACAAAAATCATTATCGATTATTCAATTATTATTGAATCGATATTTTTATAATATAAATATCAAAATAAAACGTTTGAAATTATAGGAAATGTATATGCTATGTTTGTCTATTTATGTCCAAGAGGATAAAGAAGAAACTAAGAACTTTACACCCAAAATAGCTAAAACGTTATTTTATTCTCGCATATTTAGACTTTTTAGATCGAATGGGCATGTAAGGGTTACCTTTTAGTTTATATTATATTTGGGTAGTACATTATATGTTACACTACATATGTAAAATATACTTTCCTAATATCACTTTATCTGTGCTTTTGAATCTACTTAAATAAGTAGCTGTCTTATCTCGTTCAAAGTAGTTTGACACAATGTGTAGATACTAGGTACTATTCACGTAAGCTACAATAATTAGTACCTTCTTACTGTGTCGTTCTGGTAAGTTTATATTTTTGTTTTTTTTTGTGTGCAATAAAGTGTAAATAAATAAATAATTTATATTTGTACGTAGGATTTTGACATATACACAATTTTAATAAAATGTAATCTATACCTATGTATTATGTATTCTTTTATTTATAAGCGCCAAAGACTGAATTCATGGGCGTTGAAAGCTAATATTTTGAATTATAAAATGTTATAGTTCATGATCCATTATTTGAGTAGGTGATACGAATCCCATAAAATAGGTAACAATTTCGTAAATAAAGCACAATACACTTTTTTCTGGGTACTTTTACTTGTTTTATAATAGGTAAAAGTACTAACTAAAATCACTTCCCTTGTCCATAAATCTAAAAACGAAGCTGTAAATAAAACGAAAAATGATTTCTCTTTTTAAATTTTATTGACATCTAAAATTTCTGTAACATTTTTGTACTAAAATATAAATGTGTTTCAGTTAAAAAGCTAGGACTCTCGTGGACTCAGTATAGATATTACGTCGCCTATTAATTAATCTAATGTTACATGATACGGAAGTTGTAAGTAGGCGTTAAAGGCATTTTAGTTTATTCCTAGAATACATAAAGGTCCATCCAAACAATGAACACGTCTTAAGCTCCGTGCTAAGCGTTCTTAGGCCGTTAATACAGTGACACGTAAGTACAGTTACTCGTGTATAATAAGTTCATTAACATTCATACAATTGAAACGTCTAAAGTGAGAAATGCATTGCATATGCACAAATTCTGACAATCACAGTGAAAGCTTCGACCCGAGTAAATATAAATATCAGTGCTTACTGCAACCGTTGTCTGCTGCTGCAGAATCAGTATGTACCGTAGTGTAAAACAACAATGAATTTATTAGTACATACTCGTTAAACTTTGAGATTCATTATAATTAAGATTCAAAAATAAATATCTCAATGTTCTCAATATTCCTAAAATAAACGTACAAACTCGGACAAACTAACCAGTGAACACCTTATGTTGGCGTCTAACCATAATATACGTGCTCGATAAAGCGACGCAACAATCGGCGCCCGCGCACCGCATATTTTTGACAGCTCGTTGTGTTCAGTGGGCGGTTGGTCCGTGCGTAAAAATTATAATAAATAATTAATTAACAGTAGTGTGGAATAGCTGCTGTACTTGGACCGCTATGAGATTTTCAGTGCTTCTGGATGGGTATGTTTCTGTCGGTGATCGCCAGTTGGGGTAAGGGCGCTTCTACCGTCAGAACACCGTCGCGTGAGAGCGAGGACTTGATAGCCTCGGGGTTTGTGCCTTTTGGCAATAGGAACTCTCTGTTGTACTCCCTGTACACTGACTTAGTTTCTGACTTCTCCTCGTGCTTGGCGTGTACCTGGAATCAAGATTTATTCATTTAGTTATTAACCCAAGCATAGGACAGATAAATATTGTTTTATTTATAAAGGCCTTGTAGTCTATAGACAATCGTATGCGATTGAATACAAAGTGTTTTTTGTATATATAACTATAGTGTAGGTCTTTTGATTTATAAAACTTTAAAGGCCTTTATTCATTGAAGACGTAAGTACTTCAAGCTAAAAATATTGTAATAAGCAACTTTAAACTATTAGATATTATATTATTCTTTTCACATATTATTTGGCACAACGCCTGCTTTTAAAATTCTTTAACGATGGACATAAGAGTCGACAGCTGACCTTCGTTTTACATTGAAAATTATAAAAAGCTTGAAACAATAGATTTAAGAAGATGCTTCAGGTTCGCATTATATGCTGGTTAAGCGCCAGACGTCTTAAGTTCGAATTTCGTGGTGAAAGAATAAATAGTTTTAAATTGATGGCATAACCATTTTCGTTAAATAATATTAAAATTAGAAATTAATTTGTGTGAGAAAAAATATGTCACTAAAGGATTGGGAAATATATTAATTTAGTGCTTGTTCGTCCTTTTGAAATAATATTTACCAATAATTTGTTGTCCACGGTCTTAACCACGATTTCCTCTGGTGTGTACTGACTGACGTCGAAACGAAGTTTCAGAGATTTTCCATCGCCTTCGTCTTGGATGAGCGGTGAGTTAAGGCTGTCCCAATGGCTTGGTTCCGCTAACTGTCTGCTGTCACTATGTTGTGTTGATGTGGTAGAACTGTAGACGGAAAACAGATATATGAAAACCTATCCAGGTGCAATTGCGAGTAGTACTCCCGCAAGAAGTGTTTCGTATTAAAAAAAAGATAGAAAATGTTTCTGTACTGCGGTAGCTCTATATTATAATAATTCATTTTTTTTTCTTTTTTTACACTTTTGGAAATGGATAGCTTGGCTACTTGATGACATTGAAGTAAACCATTTTTTTTTGGTTACGGAACGCTAATCTCTTTGAAGCACTGTTTTGGTAGGTTTTATTACGATTTGCCACCGAAACTTTTTGTCTCTTATCATATTGTCGTGAAAAGTATTTTTGAGTTGACGATAATGTATAAAAAGCAAATTAATTAACTTCGTTCTCTTTTTGTCCTACATTAAGTCTGAAAGTAACCTCACAAAAAGTGATAAGACGAATGCGATAACCTCGACAGTCGAATGTTAATAATGAGATAAATAGAAAGTCTTTGTTTTATTACATAGTTGAGCAGACTATATTTTAAACTTATATCACGTAACTGCTGTAAAGCATCAGAAGGGTTATAATAAAAATAAGTTTTCGAATATATTTCTCGTTTGAAACCGTTAAAGTGTTTTGTTATGTGTCCCAGTAAATTTAAACGAGGGTTGCCGGAAATGACATAGTAAAACAATTTTATTTTTAATGGGTATCGTAAGTTAAGTTAAAATTTTGTTTGTGTGTCATATATTTTATTTTAAATATGATAATTTAAATCAAAGTTGCCTGATCGTTAATAAGAGTTATAATTTTTTTGTAATTCCTAAATAATTTACTTAATTTTCGTTTAAAATACGAGATGTCCCGCCAAAATTGCAACTGTCTCGCAACGCTACTTGTATAGTAATTTAAAAAGTAATCTTAAATCTTCGAAACTAGTTATACCTGTTCGTACTTTGCATGCAAATAGGTCATCGCACGGTCGCCGTCTGGTAAAAAATTCGAAAAAGGTTTTTGTACCCCACGGCTGGTATTCAAATTGCATATTTATCTGATATAAAAATATTCCTGTAGTAAGTGCATTGCGACATGCACATAGTAATTAAATGCATATATTATGGGTCAATAACCTTTTCGAATTAGTTGCTATTTTACTAACTAACTATTACGAATGTAATTCTCAAAGGATTAATTTAACTACATTCTCAATTACTGGCGCCATGAACATTTCCAAATAGCTATGGATTTGTGAATTTCTTTAAAACGTCTTTAATGCCACAATGTTTGTATAGTAACTTATTGGGCCAACTTAAATAATAAAATGTTCGAGTAAGGTGTCATAATTTTTCCGCGTTTATAATTGCTCATGACAGCATAACTTTGCTGATGTCACGCCCACGAGTGCACACACAAGGTTATTGTCAACAAAATGATCTCACCAATGTTGTCCCAATGTGATATTATCTGTGTAATTAATCGCAAACCCGCAATGGTCATGTAGACTACTATTACTATTGTTTGCTAAACTATGCCTTGTCTTATATAGGCTGATATTTTTGATAGTTACAATTACGGATTTTAGGATATAGATCTCTGTTTTATTTTCGACATAGTTAAAATTGAGACAATGACAGCTCATTGATGTGTTTTTAGGATATTGCTATGAGGAAATAAATTATTCTTATTTATTAGAAGCATTAAGAATAGAAGACAATCTTATCTATCCTAAAAAAAACCGTAATTTTTATGGGGAAATGGGTGAAATGGTCAGCGGATAACGTGGACTGATCACCCGTCCTGCCAAGGGTGTCCCCGGTAGAAAATAATAATTCGTATATTTTACGATTTCATATAAAAGTCTTTAATACCGTTATAATTTGTTTATTTATTATAGTGAAATCCCGTTATCCCTGTGGGACATGGGATGAACACACCACTGTGTCTGCTTTACTGATCGGCTATTTTACAGGCAAGTACTTAGTTGATCAGACTTCTTTGACCGACGGAAACAATCCATTATTTCCCAACTATTACAACTACCTACAATTCTATTTGGATTCCAACCCAGGATCTCTTGCGCTACAGGTATAACCATAGGGCTACAGAGGTGGTCAATTATATGTCACATTATATAACGAATAAATTTATATGAAAAGAAATGATGAAATACATTCACAAACGATACACAATCTGTATCTGTCAAACTTATCATCCTGCATTAGACAAAGTGTAATTCAATAAAACACCACCTTATATTTATTGTGTCCCACTTAGATGTCTAATAAAAGTGCCCTACTTTACCTACGTTCAATAAGTAAAATGTGCTGGCGCGTGTCGGTAATTATCCTATACATAGCATACAGTTAGTAGATAAATACGTTTGTGCGTAAGTGTAAAACATAAATAATACATATAAGCTTTTACCTCTCTGAAGACTTCGTTACTCCACCGGAGGAAACAGATTCGAAATTGTAAGACATGCAAAAGGCAATATTTCCTGTTAGCTTTGCTGATATAGGGATATTAATAAAAATGCGGTTACTCAACATACAATTAAACATATAAAATTATATCAATACATATAGGCAAGCTATAAACAATGTTTTATTTTATATGTAAGCATTATTATCAAGCTAAATCAAAGAAATATCTTCCTATTATTTTATGTATAATACCAATAAGGCACTTTCGTCATAAGAAACAATGTGTTCATTACGTGTATGGGTTGATCGGCGTTTGTTTATATAATTACGTAAGTTTTACATGGCACAGCATTGTAAGGCACCATTTACCACCACTATGTCCATTCACAACGTCAACGACGTATTCATGTCAATAATAAAGGAAATGTCCTGAGCTCTATTCTCATTAGTTTAAAAATTGTTTAAATGTACAGCCATGAATAAATTCTTTATTAATACGTACTTTATAATCTAGGTATATGTATTTTTTGCAATCAGCACTAATTCTAATTGTTTGCAATATATTTTACAGATGTTAATGATTCAAAATTATTATCGTTTAGAGGACGTTTTAAGCTGTAGGCGTTTTAAACTGCCAACAAAATGTGTTAGTTACGTATACATCTGAAACAAGACTAATATATTCCAAGTAGGTCAATGCAACAGTTTTATCTTAATAAAATGCACCTTCGATACGATAAGAAGACCATAAAGCTTGTCGGTGCATATATTTTAAATTCAAGTGCCAATGAGAATACAACGGTGGTAAAGTTTTGGCACTAAATACTAAAACACCTACACTTTTGAAGTATCCGAGTTTCAACTAAAAAAACTAAACATCTAAATTTCAAAAGTAGGACCAAACAGTTTCGCCGTGTGAAAACTTATTACGTTTACAATTTACATAGCGAACAATTTGTTCACGTTCGGCTATTTCTATTTATGACATCATCTCGGCTCCGGATTACGTATCGCTGCACGCTTTAAATGGAGCTGAGATGTCTGCAGTCCGTTCCGCGGAATGATCCCGAATAATACCTTTATAACAACTTTCGTGGAAACGTCGCCGAGGTCGCGAGTGGGCGATTCTTACGAAACCCTATCTCATTAATTCAAGACGCCCTTTTAGGAAACTTGGCCCGGCAGTGCTATTGCAGAATAATAATGTAACAAGCTTAAGAATTACGCCCACTCATTAAATATTCGATATGCCTTTTAATTGCGTAACGAACCCTATAATCGAGTTAGCTTAAACCTGACCCTAATTTAGCATTAAAAAACATTAGTTATGTATCCCATGAAATACCTTGTTGTACTCTTAAAGAAGTTGTTGCTCTCTCTATTCATTAACTCCGATCGGAATTTGCTCATTTCTTCTTCCATTTTGCGCATTTCGGCGTCGAACCGCTCCCTGATGCTGGAGAATTCGGTGTCGATGACTGAAAAATCTCCCAGCTTGATCGGAATATTCCTCTTGAGACCACTGTCAGCCATTTTCACGTTGAAACTGTCGAAACTAAACAAACACTGTACGTGTAAACACAGGTCACGATGTTTCGTACTCGCTGGTAGACAAGGCAGCACTGATCATTAGTTGTCGACTCGGCGCCAGGGGGCTTGCGCGCAGTTTTAAATAGCCTCACGTTGCGACTGTGCTGAGTCGCTCGGCGTCATGCGTCCCACACTGTGTTTCTCGCTCATTCCACATTTACTACTCACAAGTCACTCATCCGTCCTGATGGTGTAGGAAACGAGATGAGGTGGTGGCGGGCACTTCGTAATTTATTGATGATTCACGATTTAGATCTGTCTTTACCGTTTATGGCAGTAGAGACCACGCGATTTGTTATTCGTTACGATATTAATACATTATGCATACCGCTATGCTCATTTTGCTTTGAGACCGTGTCTCTCCATTACCAGGGCTGCTGCAAAGCATCCGAAATGTCGGGCCGCAGTTAAAATAATTTTAACTAATATTTATCGCGTTTCAAACCATTTTGTGTTTCACTTAAATAAATCTGACTGGCTTGGGCCCTAGATTTATAGACTACACTTAATACTAAATTGTAAAAAAATCAATCTGATCAATTTTTGGAGTTGGGTTTGTATAGCAAAAAGATCTGATGTGAGTTCTGTTTTTCAGCAATTTAAGAAAATGATGATAACGTTGTAACGATAAATGAGTAATGAAATGTAATGTGAAGATGACATACTCAAATTGGTTAAAACAGGATTTCAGTATTAAGTAATGGTGTTCATATAAGGAAAAAAATGTGTCGCGTTATCGACAAAGCACTATAAACATCTGCATATTTTATTACGATGACGTCTAGTGGTTACGTAATTTCTTTTAAAATGGATAAAGGTTTCGTCCATTTGAAGGTAGCTTATTGTATAAGCTTCAACCTTCAGTTAATGTAAACTCGTTAATTTACTTTACTGGCATAAAAATAACTTTTATGAAAAAAAAATTAAGATTCTGTCATACGGAGTCGGGTCTCTCTGAAAAAAATATCTCGGTTTTGTTTTTATTTTCCTTTTTTTAAGTGATGCAACATTTATTGACTATCATCACTTGCAAGGAAGTATGTCAAAATCAAATTAGGTTAGTCTTAAAATAGTTATTGCTTTCAAATTACCGATAAATTTCTATTGTATTTATTTTATAATATGTAAGTACTTCTTTACATAATGACTATATTTAAATAAAACACTTTAACGGTTTTAAACTCGATATATTTTAGTTAAACTTGTTTGCCGTAGTCACAGGGAGACTAAAATATATCGCGTTTTTAACCGTTAAAGTGTTTTATATAAATATGTACTACTCGCATAAACTACAGACATTATATAATATAGATTTTAAACCATGTCTACAAGTACCATTCGCTTTTTTCGCAAAAGAATAACATGTTTTTACTGTGCTTACGTTGTTAATAATATTTTATTGCATTCAGGCATGACTTAATAATTATATTTATCTTGATCCAAGAATGTATTTGTGGGCGTTTCATTGAGAAAAGTGCCGTTCCACTTTACGCATAATTCCAGGGAAATAATATAAATAGCGACGTTGTTTACAAATTTCATGAAGTCACTATTTAATACGAATAAGTAATACATAGAGTAACATTGACCTAAAAATCAGTTCAGTATAATTAACTAGTTGTCCCGACGAATATCGACTCAACTTCAAATCACCGTCAAATCTTTATTTTTAAATTTAAATAAGACTTTTAAAGCTTTATTATATATAATATATATTTAATTTACCGTATTCGACGGATCGAACGGCCGACCCACGTTTCGGATGTTTTGCTGGGATCAGCCGCGGTCACGGGGGTACAAACCGCGTTTTAAACCGTTGAAGATGTTTTATTTAATTCTGTACAAGTATTGCGTTACTTCCTCATGCTTGTCTGTTCTCTTCTATCATAAAAAAAATAAAAGAATCCAGTGTTAAAGTAAATTAGTAAAGTTTTTATATTTATTAATAATTATTTAACGTGTTTAATGTTTAATTATTATATTTAATGAATATAGGACGTGCATTGTGCATAAATAAGGCTTCCGTATCATCTATAATGCCAACGGTCTATCTGAACAAATACATTATTTTATAGGGTTTCATTTGCGAATATCTTTAGCTGTATATGTGGAGAGCTGATGACAGTAGTATTTTATTTGAATAAAACACTCCCTTACTTTTACATTACCTCCATACATACCATATACGGTGAAGTTGAAAATATTTACAACTATGTCTGTATGTATGTTCGGTTTAGCAATTAAAATACTCGATATGCAAGATGTTACGTAATAATGGCGCGGATGACATCGGCATTTTTCTGAAAGAGAAGGACAGACAAGCATGAAGCTAACTTGACGGTAGGCAAAATACCCCAGCCATATTATAACATGTAAACAAGATGCATCGTCGACCTATTGTAGCTTTGGATATTTGGAAACTCTACATAATGAAAATGAAACACGATTTTACTTCGCGACTGTTTCTTCTGTGGACGGACCCGGACGGAATTTGGATATTCCACATTCCTACATATCTCAGATGCTACAGATAAATTTTAAATTAATTGGTAACATTGTGGAACCAGCGGGGATCGAACCCGCGACCCATTGATTACTAGCCGTATATTGCTCCCCTTAGACCAACGAGCTACAGATATTTTACAATAAAGTTATTTTACATAATTAAATGTTATACGTCTTAATTAGTTTTTTAAAATCGACTGACAATCTAGACGTATCATCAAATGCAAATATGTATAAAGATAATTTGCAATTACAAACTAAGTAGGTATTAAAGATGCACTATGGACTTTTGTGGTTTCAGAAAAACACCAACTGCACGGCTTCACTTCACGGTTTTTCCATATGTGAATGATGGTTCATAAACGAAACAGAATTTCGATAATTATTCCCTTCATTATATATCCAGGTCTTGTAGATGGAGAGCGAAGTGTTTAGGAAAATAATAAACTTATTCACAATTTTATTTTACCTACGACCCGACGCTTCGTTTCTAAAATACGAAGTTAACATTTCGCGTTTTAAACCGTTAAAAGTGTTTGAAACTACAGACAAAGCTTAGTAAAAAAATAATTTGCAAACACGTTGGGCCTGGTCAAAATCGATTCCTTGTACGGATGGCTTCACCAGATCAATATTTATTGTACTAAGGTTTCTATGTTCTTATGTTCCAATATATTTTTGAATGTAGTTACATGAGCATTAAATACCGAAGTCAAGCTCGATAAAAATCAGCATAACTACAGTTTACGTAACGTACATTGACCTTGACGAGTTTGCGACTCGATATTTACAATGCAGCTTCGATGCTATTATGCTGGCTTACCTGTCTAGATAACCTAGATTGACATACCTAGCACATACCTCAGAACCCTGAGGTAGACTTTCGCGCCCGACATTCTTACTAAACGATGTTACTTCGTGTTAGGAATTAAACAGAGGATATATCAAGGGAATTTCTTGCATTCTTCCTATCATTAGAAAATAAGTAAAAATACCATGGTATTATTTTTAAGTTGTACGTTAATACGCACTTGGTGCTTTTAGAGGTAGTCAAAATAAATATTGTCGTTGTTGTACACATTTCAATAATACACTGTAACGGTTTAAAACGCGATATCGTAATATATTAACGGTGTTTCCCCATACCACGTCATATCACGACCGCTGCAAAGCATCCAAAATGGCGCTCTGTACATATTTAAAATAATTTTCAAATTAAGTTAACTAATATTTTTGCGTTTTAAAGCGTGTTTTATTTAAATAACTTTAAAATTATTTATATAGCTGACTATGTTGCTTAAAATGACATGCAGGTTTAAATTCTTTTGACTCAAGGGTTTTATCTATAGGTACTAAAGAAGCTAAAGAATTTGTTTGTTTGAACGCTAATCTTAAGAACTACTGGTTCAAATTGAAAATTATATTTGTGATGAAAAGACCATTTATCGAAGATTGCTTTAGGCGATATAGCATTACGCCGCAACCAAAAGAACCAAAGAAATTGGGGAAATGTAGAAATAACGCAGAAAATTATTCATCTTAGAAGGCTTCCGTTAATGAGGCTAAAAATGATTTAGTTAATCAAAAATGTGTATGAAAAAATGATCCCTCTTTAATTGATCTAAAAAAATGTCTGGTACAGTAGTTATATGTCTATCTTTGAAGATTAACCCTTCAGGACCACGGCAGGCCGACGTCATCGTACATTTTAAAAATTTATACAGATTTAGAGTTTTCCAAAAAATTATTTAGATGCCCAATATAGTTATTCCACGCGGAATCCAATATAGTTATCGCCAGTCGCGTGTATAGGATTCATAACATTAAAAACGTAATTACTGGTTAGCTAATAAATGTACACTGATGTATATTTACTTAAACCTCTATAAAGGCCGCAACAGTAGTTAATACTAGTGATCACAGGCTAAAATAGCACCCAACGACTGTCTTATTCAAGCCATGGTTCGAGCCAGGAATGTGATGGAAGCGATAAACAATGAGGTCATTCACACTCTCACCATCAAGCAGGATGCTGATATGAGAAATTGCAAATCAGTATCATCTAATATTATACAGCTGAAGAGTTTATTTGTTTGAACCCGCTAATCTCAGGAATTACTGGTTCGAATTTAAAAAAATTCTCTTTGTGTTGATTGGATCTTTTACCTTATTATTATATGAGGATTTTAGGTTATAAAACATCAGGCTGCGATCAATAGAAGCGAAGAAACAGAGGGAAATGTAAAAAATCGAGGTAAACGGAATCTTTAAAGGATTCCGTTGCGTGTGCTGCGAAAACGCTTCAAGAAACCAAAAAATATTCTTCTTTTTATATGTAGGTAAGTAAATTGCTGTCTTACTGATTGCTTCTATTGACAGGCAAGTTGTTAATCAGAATTCTGTACCCTACCTGACTATATTCCCCGAGTCTCAAAGACGTTTCCTACGGCCTAAATTTTGTATTAAAAGGGTTAAACGTAGTGTACAAATAATAAGTATATATATTGAAAAATACCGTTTTAAAGGTACATAAACAATTGCTAATTAAAATAGTAAGTTAAATTGCTCTAATAATGATAGCATTGAAGAATGAGTCACGCTCTAGACCGGTTGTTGATAAGAAAAGGCTCGCAAAACGTGGCCAAACTTTTAATATTGTGTACAGGTGAATGACACTAGGAATTAGGAACAGACGGTAATGATTATTATTGTCGACGCAGTATATCGATTATCGAATCGCCCTTATAAGTCAAAGTACACTGACACCCACTCCTATTTCAATAATAAGGTATCTCTACCTACATTATAGATATACTTAAATTAGATATAACAATGTAAAAAAACCAATGTTTGACTGGAAAACTTTTCAGCACAAGAAAACTTTAATTTCCTTCTTCCTGGCGATGATAGATAGATATGATAGAGTATTGTCTGTAGTTTACGCGAGTGCACATTTAAATAAAACAATTTTAACAATTTAAAACGCAATTTATCAGCTAACTTATTTACAATTTATATTAAATACGGCCAGACGCAGCAGTCGTGATCTCAGGAGGACACTTTATACTATTTGCGTAAACTATTAAATGTAGGTATATATATATAAAATTATATGCGTGTTATAAGAGTTAAGTCATCATACTTTTGATTCACTGTCCTCTACGAATAAAACTGTCTTAAATAGCCAGCCAAGGTCAAAAGATGTCTTTCTGAGTCTGAGCCAATCAGGTCGGAACATAGACAGGTCATATCCGTAATACTAACCACAATATCGAGTTTCAACGAAAAGTCTCACGGCAAAGATGTGCCTAGAAGACAAAAAGAATATTTTTTACTGATTCTGACTTAAATGTATATCCACTTTTACTATGTACCTTTACTTATTCAAGCGTGTAGGTGTAAATATTTTACTGCTAATGTTTAATACTATATTTGACGATTGATATAATTTTTGCTGCATGACGTCGTCCGTGGGTTAATTAAACGCTACGGAAGTTGTTACAATACCAATATGGTCCGACATCATTGCTGACGTTACACAGCTACCTAACTCAGTGACGAATTAAGGCGTAGGCTGGTTAGGCTATATTGCCTAGGGGCGGCAAAGTAATTCCATTTCGATATTTCCTTTGTATTGCTACTAAGAAGTTACCTATTCTATACTTAACATCTAGTGCTCCCGTCGGCCGCTTTCAACACTTTGTATGAGCTAAGAAGGCAAAGTTATCCGTTTTCCCACTGTCAAACCGTACTTGCCAGTTTGAATATACATATTATGACAAAACACAATTACTTGTACCTTTAACGAAGATTTTCTTATGTTTATAATTCATTGTAATTGACATATCTTATGCAAAACTCATTCTTGAAATAAAAAACCTTTTAGTATGGAAAATCACCTCTAAAGTGTGAACTCTTTTTTTATGGAAAATAATAAATCCTTTAAAACAATAAACTAACAGTCTAAAGGATATAACATACTACTTAATCTACTATATTATAATACATATCATTGCTTTAAACCAGGTGTCTTATTGTGTACAAAATATGTATTTTAAAAGTAGTCTTAAACGTGAATATTGTAAATTGACAGAAAAAATTTCATTGCCATTTGTAAATTCACCAGTGACCTACCAACAACTTAAAACATATAATGAATTAATTAATAAACCATTTTAAATTTAATACTAGTACTTACCATTTACTGCCCTGTGAACAGATAATTCATTTAAAAAATATACTTACATTTAGTGTGATAAAGAGAAATAAATAGTTATACACCTCTATGCAATGCATGAGTGAGTAACCATTATGAAATCAGTTTTTTGCAACTAATTAAATTGCTACTTAGCGGTACAAATTTACAATTGTATCAGGGAAGTAACTATTTCCTAGGTTTAACTTACTGTAGTATTTTATTGTACCAATAAGTTCAGAATTTAAATATTGTGACGGTAACTTTACACTAAACTCATAGCTATAATGTAATAAATACAATGTCAAAACTATTTTTTGTCAGTCTTGACTTCTATTATATAAAAAATGATACATATCCATCTCTTTCATGATAAAACAAAGTAAGAAAAAGATTCTTATCATTTTCCCTTTCAAAGTAAATAATGAATCAACGCTTATCATTACTGGCTGTCTATATCTTATCACAATGTTGTATAAAATAAATATGTATTTTACAGAAATATTCCCAATCTGAGGTAGATTTCTGTTCACTTTATTTTGCTTTGAAGAATAATGATAAATACAAAAAAGTATTGTTGCCACACATCATATTACAAGCGGTAAACACTTGTAATATGTGTGGCAAAAATGAAAGTTCATGTAGGAATAATATATTTATTTTACAATATAAACAACAAGATATAAAGACATGTTTCCTCAGATGTGCCAAAAAAACATAAATTTTACTAGAAGATATGCAAAACTGTTACATCCATTTCAAATATATATTGTTTTGTTGGTCCCCTTATATTATGTAACATGTCAAAAATGCAAAGATAACTAAATAAGTAATAAGGTTTCTATAATCATCATAAATGTGTAATTTCAACACAGGTTCAGAAGTTAAACTAATTATGACTCGCTTTTGTGAGCGGATATAATAAAAACGAAACAAATTATCATTACCATAGAACAGAAAATGATAAAAACCCATACTGTTGGCCAGCGTATGGGTCCATTATAAATCTTAATACAGTTAATCACAAACTTTGTGCTCCAATACAAAATACTTTTGTGCTAAAGTTGTGTACAAAACATATACTTAGAGCTTAGTTAACACCAATATACATATAGCAACATTTCTAAAATTCTCTCATTATTGTATGATTTTTCAAAATATTCCTGTATTGGCTGAAAAATAGTATTTTTCTATAACTTGTTTTATTGTAACACCACTTAATAAGACATTCTTATAAATATATCATATAAATATGTTTAAAGCAATGTTCATTCTAACAATTTCAATATTAGTATAAACAGATTTTAGAATAGAACTTTTAGTAGACATATATCAAAAAGGTATTCAGAAATCTAGAAGTATATGTAAAATATCAGTTACTATTAGTTGTTTGTAGAGTAAATTGTTTCAAAAATAGTTTCATTTTAATCAGTCAAGATACATTATCAAATTCTTTTGTAGTTGCTCAAGTATTAGTAATAAATCACGTGCAGACTTCTGAATTTATCGCCCTGAAGGGGTCTCTGGAGCTGGAGTAACAGGGGGAGCTGCACTAGAGCCAGAACCAGATGTAGCCCAGACAATAATAATAATTAGAAGTACAGCCCCTACAGCACCAATTATCAACATCATTTTCAGATTTTGCCACCAATATTTTCTCTTCAGCTTACCAGCCTGTTGTTCAAACTGCGCCGCTCCATGTTGCAGGGCATCCGCACGATTATCGAGTTCAGACAACTTTTGGTCTCTTTCCAACACTTTCTCGACATTAACACGCATAATACCAACGACTTCATCTACCTTAGCTTGTGTCTGAGCCAATCGTTTATCGCTCACTCTGGGACCTGAAGTACCTTGGTTTTCCATGATTTTTGATTAATTCGCAGCGGGAAGTACTTGTAAATAGATGGTCTTTTGATTTCAATACCGTCAGTCGCAGAAATCAAACACAAATATGGCGTGCAATGTACCGAAAGTTTTTATTTCTCAATAAATAACAATCCAATTCAAGAAATCAAGGAAACGTAAAAAGTGACGTAAACACTTGTCTAAGAAAAAAAGTTACGCATAGATTGTGCCTTACTCATAAATCGGTACCACAGATTATATATAAATAATTAATTATTTTGGCTTTTGAGCACCGAAGTCGGCACTTGTTTATGGATGCAATATAGACTAGTCTCTATGATACTATACTCTTTAGTCTATATTTAATTATAGTTTTTGAGTTGCGGTGTTTCTCTCGTGATTTTTGGTTACTTTAATAATTCTTTAAAAGTAACATTTGACTTAACACCCAAATAAAAATGGTATGTATGTAGAAATATAGGATTTGAAAGCTTTAATATTTTTCTTGTGTTAAAAATGCTCGTGGTAAAAGTGTTCTTTTTGTTTACTAAATCTCACACAATGCACATGTTCACATTTTGAGTGATATTTTTATAAATATCTTCAGGTATCCTTAAATCCCATCAGAATATTAAAGAATGAGGCGGAAGAAGAAAAAGGCGAGGTGGCTCGTATGTCTAGCTTCATCGGAGCCATCGCAATTGGTGATTTGGTTAAAAGTACTCTAGGTCCTAAAGGGATGGATAAAATCTTGGTTTCATACGGTAGAAATGCTGGTAATGTGCGTATCTTGTGGTATTTCAAATAAAATGTATCTTTATTGTCAATTGAACAAAGTTAATATATACTTTGGAATGATTGTAGATTGAGGTTACAAATGATGGTGCTACTATTTTAAAGTCTGTGGGCGTTGATAATCCAGCTGCTAAAATTCTGGTAGATATGTCCAAAGTACAGGATGATGAAGTTGGAGATGGTACTACATCAGTAACAGTGCTGGGTAAGACATTGTATGATTTTGCAACCTTTTTCTCATAACTGTGATGCTCTAGGCCAGGATATTTTGCTAGGCTTACTTAGTTGCCGACTCTGGATTATATCTTTAGAAATTTTGTACATTGTTCCATGATGTTTTACTGAAAATTTATTACAGCGGCTGAATTATTGCGTGAAGCAGAAAAGTTAGTCGAACAAAAACTGCATCCACAAACAATAATAGCTGGTTGGAGGATCTCTGTGGAGGCAGCTAAGCAAGCACTATCTGATGCTAGTTTTGACCATCAAAAGAATCTTAATGAAGCTGCATTAAGAGCTGATTTAGAAAATATTGCACGAACAACATTAAGTTCCAAGATTCTTTCCAATCATAAAGAGTAAGTTTTTAACCAATTTTCAATGATCATATAGAATTTTGATACTTAGGAAGGAAATACAGATAAGTCAATTACTAAATGGTAAACATTTTGTTAAAGGCATTTCACAAAACTAGCAGTAGATGCTGTGTTAAGACTAAAGGGTTCAGGAAACTTGAAGGCTATTCAAATCATAAAAATCTCAGGCGGTGTTCTTGAAGAGTCTTTCCTAGATGAAGGATTCCTGCTTAATAAAAAGGTAAGACTACACTTCTAAATTTACAGAGGTTAATAAAAATGTATGTAATCCCATGGTTAACTTTTAAAATGTTCATGTATGTTGTGATAGTATGTATTACTTTGATGAGCAATAAGGTTTCACTTAAATAACAAGATTTTATTTTATTTTAGGTGGGTGTGCATCAACCAAAAAGAATTGAAAATGCCAACATCCTGATTGCCAATACTCCAATGGACACAGACAAAATTAAAGTATTTGGTTCAACCATCAAAGTGGATTCAATGGCGAAAATTGCTGAACTTGAAGTTGCTGAAAAAGAAAAGATGAAGGACAAAGTTAACAAAATCTTGGCACACCAATGCAATGTCTTCATAAACAGGTTTGTCAAAATGCATAGAACGGAAATCCTTGCTTTTCAAAAAATTACAGTCTACTTTGTCTTTTGTAACTAGTTGTAGAATAAAGGCAATAAAGGTACATAGCGTAAAAAACAAAGAAGACTTCCTGAGTTCAAATATTGAGTGTACCGAAGTCGCAACAATTACGAAATGGATCAGTTATGGACACAAATGTGTTGTGTGTAATATGATTGAATAATTTAAAAAAAAATGTTTCTCTAGGCAATTGATTTACAACTACCCTGAACAACTATTTGCTGATGCTGGAGTGATGGCTATTGAGCACGCTGATTTTGACGGAATTGAACGTCTTGGTCTTGTGACTGGTGGTGAAATTGTATCCACATTTGACTCACCTGAAAAAGTTAAATTGGGACACTGTAAACTTATCGAACAGGTAAATTATTGCAAAAAATTGTACTTTACCGTAATGTACTTAATACTCAAATTATAAATACCTGATGATGTGTTATATGACTAAAAAACAACTATCTTTTATATACCAAAAAAATTTAAGGGCTATAATTTTGATACGATTAATATTTTTATTTTTCCATACGAAAATATAAACACTATAATTATGCAAAGTCTAAATAAAATATAAAAATAATATACTTTAAGACTTTGCTAATTGAATTTATTATATGCAGTATACATCTTTATAGATTCACAATCTTTTAAAATTAGTAATAGTTCTCAGAGCAACTGCATGATATGATGTAGTCATGGGTTTGACTCTCATTTTTGTCATTGTTTTTTAAAAAATGTTTTAGGAATATTTCTATTTTTATATATACACCAAAAATTTTTAAAGACTTAAAATAATTTATGCCTTTTTCTATTTTAATTAAATACTTGTAAACTTGCAGGTCTTAATAGGAGACGAGTGTCTTATCCGTTTCTCTGGTGTCGAGTTGGGCTCTGCCTGTACCATTGTAATCAGAGGTGCCACTCAGCAAGTTATAGATGAAGCTGAGAGATCTCTACACGATGCCCTGTGCGTTCTTGCTGCGACTGTACGTGAGCCGAAAGTTATTTATGGAGGAGGTAATATTCATATCAGTATAAAAAAACACCAATTATAATACATAAAGACTAGTAGTTGCTTATGTTTAAGATTTAATGTCTGTTTTGTGCCTGATGAATCATGCCTGTTAGTAATTTAGAATGAGTCATGTATATTGATTCCTTATTTGTGTTTTTGCTTGTTAATCACACTAAAAATATAACTGATGGAAAGAACAAAGCAAAGCTACAAGACAAAGTCCACATTATATTCCAAATATTAAGATGGCCTATTGGTGCATTGTTGCACCAAGAGGCCATCATAATGTATACATTATGCTGCACGTGTGATGCCATTGTCGTAATCAATGGGTCACGGGATCGATGCCCATGGGGCCCAAATAGTTCTAATCAATTTATATTTTTTCTGAAATATTGTGTAAGCATTGTATTATAGTTGTTACAAAAGTCACCATGTATCAGGAACATACATGAGTACAATAAGGAAGTGTTCTGGATTCCAGGTGCCAGTGAAATGCTGATGGCGGAGGCGGTCTCCCGAGCGGCGACTCGCATTGCTGGTAAGGAGGCCGCAGCAGCTGAGGCGTTTGCCATCGCTCTAAGAAGGCTACCTGCCGCAGTCGCTGATAATGCTGGTTACGATAGCGCAGATCTTATCGCCAGATTGAGGGCACAACACGCCCAGGGAGAAGCTACGATGGGCTTAGGTTAGTATTACATTTATTTGGATCTAAAAGCTTAAAATTTAATATATTTTTAAAATTAGGTGCTTATGGAGACTAAAATATTGTATGTAATATAAACAAGATGTAGTATAAATGTTTTTTTTTCATTGGATACGTTAAATATAGGTTAACAGAAAAAAATATTGTAACGGGGCTTCAAGGAGAAAATATTATAGTCACAAGAAAAAATCATACTAACTTTATAGACTGTTTGTAAGTTTGAATAGAGATCCTTCTTGACACATTCTGTTTCACTGACATTAGGTTTGAACAAGAGAGTAAACATTAAATTGATAGAGAAAAATATGTAGTGCACTTAAGACTGCAAAATAAAACTTGCCAATAAAAGGGGTGGCGGCGAGTTTCTTGCCAGTTCTTCTCGTTCGTTCTACGCCCTTGATTTAAGAATCGGTAAATGTAAATTCCTTTGTGAATAAATGATTTTTGACTTTGAAATTGTTCATCACCAGTCAGTTTCATTGCAGCAATAAAGTATGACTACCACCCCAAAGTACAGATAATCTTAATATATATTTTTATGTTTTTCAGACATGGAAAACGGTTGCGTTGGTGACATGAAGAAGCTCGGCATTACCGAATCGTACGTAGTGAAGCGGCAAGTGCTGTTGTCTGCAGCAGAAGCCGCAGAAGTGATTCTTCGTGTTGACAACATACTGAAGGCGGCTCCTCGTCGTCGTGGCCCTGACCGTCGTCCCTGCTAATCACAGGACTTATATTCTGTTGCCTTATGCTGCAGTTAGGGTGTGGTCTCGTACAAACGCCGTAGACTACGTACAGCGTAACGCGTTACGCTGCGTTAAAATGCTTTGTTAGATGTACTGTCGGCGGAACGCTGTACGAAACTTACAGCTTTGATAGGAGACCTACAGCCTTAGAATAACGGTTGATACTAGAGGGCGCTATTTAAGATTTCGTTTCAAATTATTTTCGCACCCAGTTGCTTAAAGAGCCTTGAGCTATTTATTACAACTTCTTATAGCTGGTTTATGTAACTACAAATTAAACGATATACCTTATGAGCTTCTACTTAAAAAAATGCTCGAAATATTAAATGTGCGAGATTTTTTTACACATTGTATTATTAACATAAATAATTTTCCTCTAGTTAAGCTAGCTCACAAAAATATTTGTTCAGTATAGAAGTCGCTTTTATTTCTTGATTAAATTAGCTTTATTTTAATGTATTTACTTAATAAACTCTTCACAAATGGTACTTTTTCTTTCCGCTATTAAATACATTTGCTCATTCAACCTAAGCTAAGAACAGCTCCTAAACTAAAGAGTGTTATATTTGTCCTAATTGCACTTTAGAAAAAATTACAACAGGAAACTAGAGGTAGAAATACCAGGGTCTATAGCCAAGATTGAAAATAAAGCACACAGGTTAATAAAACGTATGGTCATAACACTGTTCCCTACAAAAATATATTTCCCAATATTTGCGTTGGAAAGCCTACCAGGTAAAACAGACCTACAGGTTGCTAGGGACCAGTTGAACTATTCAGGATCTCTACCTGGCTTAATCTAGGACGAACCGAACTTCCACAAGACTCAACCATCATTAAGATACAAAAATACAACGTTTATATCAAGCAGGTGCTCGTGTTTAAGCAGAGGAAAAAAAATATAACAAAGAATTGATAGCATTATCATTTTCAAATAAGAAACTTCGCGATACCAATTTCATTTCTCCCAAATTCTTTACGTATTCAATATTGGATAACACAATCTACCTTTATTATTTGATTTGTCCCTCGCATTGTTTTACGTCCGTACAATAAAAGCGATAACCTTATAAGACCTCTTCAAATCGACACGAACGTTTACCAAAGAAGGCATTTATTTGCTCACGTTTCGGACGGATTTCCTGTGCCGATTGTTTAAACACGAGAATGTGAAAAATACCCTAAAATAAGATTTGTTCTATGGTATAGAAGCTAAAAAATATTGTTTTTATTGTAAAATTGTTGATACTACACGATACCAAATATTGCAATTTTGATATAAAATTGTCCCCATAAAGCTTAGTTTGCCCAGTCGAAATACAACAGGTTATGAAACTAAAAGCTAAACTGAACTGAATGAAACTAGAAACTAAAAGTTACCAAAATCTGGCCGTCTACAGAATAGATCGCCTTTGCGGCGGCGCCTAAAGAATTAATGATTAAGTCATGAATGGTTCGATTAATTTTTTATGCAGTTTACATTTAAAAAAAAAAAAGGAAAAAAAAAAAAAAAAAAAAAAAAAAAAAAAAAAAAAAAAATTTAAACCCCCCCCCCCCCTTTGGGGGCTTTTCCGCCGGCCGGGGCCCCGGGGAGACAAAAGTTGGAGGATGTCCCTGACGTCAAAGTAAAAAATTGCTTCGCTAGCGCCATCTGTTCCGTCGAAGTTGGTGTTTTGCGAAACTTAAGGCCGGGTCCTTACAGAATTGACTAACCGTGTCTTCGCTTTTGCCGGTATGCTGTTTATTGGGATCCAGAGTTTTTAATATGGGATCCCAGGTGTTTAATAATTTGAGGCCGTCCTCCCTATTGAAATTTCGGTGTTTTTTGATTTCAATTGCTTCGCGTACCAATCTTGGAAAGAATCGACTCTCCTTTGCGAGGATTTTTGGCTGGTCAAAGCGAATGTAATGATTGGGCCTTTCCGATGAGTGTTGGCATACCGCAGATTTGGAGAGACGTTTATGTTTTGTTTGTTATCCGCGACTTGTTCTTTAATTCTGTTTGAGATGCTATGCATCTTGTAAAGGGTTAGTACACTTGTTAGGTTTCAGGAATTGCTGAATCTTCTTATGCGGCTTGAAAATTGTGTCAATAAAAGCTCGTTTTAGAACTCTGCTAATTCTATCTGTAACTTCCTTCACATATGGTAGGTAGGCTGACGTAAGATTGTGGGTGGCTTGTTCCTGTTCCTGGAATATGCGGAGGGACCCTCAGTTTGTTCTTGCATAGGACCTGCTTGACATGCTGTAACTCCTCATTAAAGTGGGTAGCATCACAGAGACATTTATTTCCGATATATGTACTATATTGTTCTATTTCCAGTGTTACAGAACAAAGTGTCACGATTGTTTTTTTATATATTTTTTAGCATTTTTACAAGACATAAATAGCACAGTAGCCAATTTATCCCAAAGTTCCCCCAAGCAATTCTAATACATACAAACATTTTTACATATTGCCTCACATTCTGCTAAGACGAATCGGTGTCCGTACGACACGAAACTGACGCTTCGTTCATTTTTAACACGCACCCCTTCTTCCACGACTGGGCTAACAATTTGGATAAATGGTTCATTCCTCGGCATCCCCTTAAATTATTCAAGCTCATCCTGCCATCGTTCCTTAACACGACAAGGAGAGGATTGCACGGTAAAGTGGAATATTCAGACCGTAATCACGTACGAGACGTACAAACAAGTTATTGCGTGTACGTTTTATAAAAGAACACAATATAATATATTAATTTCATTGGTTTACTTTTACAAAGTCGACCGAAGAGATATTCACCTGTTAACCGCCTCTGTAGCTTAATGGTTATACGTATTGCCAGGCATTGCGTTACGCGCGAGAGGTCCTGAGTTGGAATTATTATTATAAATTATTTCCTTTTTTTCAGACCAAGCATTAAATACCTAGCAAATAAAAGGCTATAAAATTAACTGTATTAATAATAGGACCAATAAAGGAAACTAGTAAACATAGGTAAGAACGTAAAGTACACGTAGCTGATAAATGGGAGTATTCTGTAAAATCAAACAATGTTACCTGGGCAGGAGCATATTATGGGCTAGATGCATAGGGGGGGCCGGTATACAAAGAAAGATTCAGGCAGTCATCATCTCTTGCAGTCTGAATATTAAAAGCCCCTAAAATTATAGATAGGAGTTCTTGTTCCTATCTACTTCATTTAAAAAGGATATTTCGATTATCTCACATATCTATTCCTTTTCGGAGATGAGGTTAGAGGGCCCCTAATCTCCGGGGCCCTAGTGCACCACCTGGGCCTACAATAACTACGCCACTGCACTAGTGGATGGTTCCTGTAATCAATAAATAAACTCAGCCAGAATGTACTTTAAGTTCATTGTTAATTTTAATATCAACTGAAAAAGTTTTCAAAGGAAATGTATCAATTTGCACGCAAAAAGCGGCGCTTAATAAAACAATAGTCACTTAAGTAGGTGCTTTTACTTCAAAAGCATTTCATTAAAAAGCAGACGTTGAAAAACTAGGCATTCGAGTGAATAATGTTAACTAATGACGAATGTTTGTAGTTGTTGGAATGTTCTTGAATGCCACACGGGTTGCACCATAAAAAACTACCCGCAACGTAATTGCGAGACGGAATGAAGTTATAAGCCTCTTCGTTCATTATGGACTCCGTTAAGTGTACGGTAATTTTATTTCGTGGCCATTAAAACTTATAGTAATTCAGCAGAATTTATGTCAAAACTGTTTCGAAGAATAATCTGCGAGCTTCGCAATAAAATACACATTCTTTTCGTCTAAATGAAATGGCAGTTTGTCTCGAATATTAACAGAAATTTTCAATTCCAATTAGTAATTCCTGAAATTAACGCGTTTTAAAAAAATAAACTCTTCAGATTTATAATGTTAGTATAGATTCACCATAATTATGTGGAAACTTGTACAAATCAAAGCTTTTTTGCCTGTGGGTATGTAATTATAATTAAAATGTATGAAATCAAGCAAAATTAAAGATAAAGTCTACCATAGATTCAGTAACGCTTAGTAAATAATTTTTTAATAGAGTTCAATGTTAGTAATAATGTACTAATCGCTTTTTCGATTTGATATAAGCAGACTATATATTTTATTATAATTGTCTGGTAAACACTAAGTGGTATTTATTAAGCCATTGTAATCAAAGTAAGTTAAGAGTTTCGTGAAAATAGTTTCCTTTTCTTCTCGTTTATCTTTCTTAAACAGTGGAATTGGCTCGGGATTTAGGGAGATAATTACTTTGTTAGGTTCTTGCAATAATAGCTAAATAAACACCCCTCTCTTTCTCGTTAGCTTTGCAAAAGACATGTATGTTAATGTACAAACTTGAATTCAGGGTGAAGATATAATTTATTGTATTACAAATATAACTATGTAACATTGAATTACCAAATGTTCTAGAAAGATTTACATAAATAAAATAATTAAACAGTTAGAAACGCGAACTATATTCGTTAAGTAATTCTGAAATATAATTTCTATGATGCGATAGGTTAGTTTTACAACCATCACGCTCTCGAGAGTAGAGCGATTTTTAATTCTGTACTATTGTCAAATTTAAGATCAAGACGTCCTGAGGTACATACATTTGTCTACAAAGGTAGTCGAACTAGTTGCTTCAAAACGAAATACTCACTGCATCGTATTGGGTAGTGAATGCGCGGCGTAACATGTTATTGAGATAAATGACAGCCGTATTTTAAGACAAGGTACAAACTAATTCAGTACAGTGTGAAAACGGTGGGCAGATAAAATTATCGGTCACGTTTTTCTGGTTTGTTTCGAAACAAGACTAGAATTGAGTATTTATACATTTTTGCACTAAGAAATACTTTATCGTGTTTCCCCAGGCTTTGATTCTAATTTTTGTATGAATGAAAATTAAGGTGTTGCCATCGTCATCATAAGTCCTTCAATATTTAAATAAAACACTTTAACGGTTTAAAACGCG